TCCCCAGCCAGCTTTGCTGGCTGGGGAATTCTGGGAGTTGAAGTCCTCCAGGCTTAAAGTTGCCAAGGCTGGAGACCCCTGATCTAAAGGTTGGGTTGATTCTATCTTCTGCAGAAGGTGGAGGGCACTGAAGCACCCACCCCAGGAGGCCTTCACCAGTCTGGGAAAGGTACTCTACTGTGCTGTGGAGACGTCTCTTCTTCCACTTCGGCGTCTTCCTCACCTTCCCTTACCTGCCAGCTGGGCCTGCAACTGGTTAAGCTGGGCAGCGTGCCTCTCGGCTTCCTTCAAGGCAGCATTCAGTTGGGAGCGAAGGTCCATCTCCTTCTTCTGGTGGCTGGTCAGCTCCAGTTGAAGCCGGGAGATCTGAGCTGTAGCCGCTGCCAGTTCCTCGGCAACCTTGACCTGCGACGTGAAAAGAGGATCCGTAAGGAGAAAAGCAGAGGGAGAAGTCGTGGAAGGGTTTTCTCCAAAAGAAAAAGAAGAAGAAGAAGAAAAAAATAGGATATTCGGACAGAAAAGGTGAGCGGTAAAACACAGTTTGAAGAGAGGGAAACTGGCTTTTTCCTGCTCAAAGTTGAAAAGGGGAACTTCTGGGGCAGGGGAAATTCCAGGTTACCGAGAGAATAGAACCTCACCTGGTCCCACCACCCCTGATCCAGTGGCATCAGGTACTAGAGGAAAAAAAGAAGCAGTGACAGGAGAAGGAAAATTAACTCCACCAGAATCGAAAGCCAGAGAGGAGACGACAGAAAGATGGTTAGCCAAAATAAAAACATCCTGGCACTCTTGAAAAAAACATGGCTGTTCACATACAATCAGCCTCTTCCCAATCTGATGCTCTTCAGTGCCCGAAACTACATGCTGGCTGGGGGAGCCACAAAACACTGAAAACCATTCTGGGGATCGCAAGAGATGTCCCGAGGAGCTGTTCCATCCTTCCAAACAGTCCTCCTGGGCCTGCAACTGAGGAGCCCAGCTTATTACTTTCATTTCACTTTCATTTACTTATTAAACTTTATCTGCCACCCACCTCGCTGTCCCCCCGACCCTTGGCTGGCTTACAATCAGTTCTTCAAAACCATTTTGCTTCTCGGGCCTACGAGCTTTCTATGTCGTCGTTCTACAACCACTTCTAATTCATTCTGCCCAGTTTCCAAATTAGGGCAAAATGAGCTCAAAGTTAGTGACTTTTTTTTGTTTTGTTTTTAAAGAGAGAGATAGGAAGGAGCAGGATGTGTCTTGTCATCTCCTCTGCTTTCCAATTTTTCCCCCGTGTGGGATTCCGATGATGGTAAGCACCGCACCAAGAAGGGGAATTAAGGTTAAATGCTGAGTAGAAGCCCAGGATTTTTTTGGGGGGGTTGCTCTCTAAGTTATCTTGGCTTCCTTTCCTCTTGGTGGTCTTACCTTTTCTTGCTCGGCGTGTAACACTCTGGCTTGAGAATGTTCGGTGTTCATTTGCAGAGAATTGTTCCTTTGCTCCATCAGCAGATTGCTTTGCTCGACGTATCTGGGAGAAAGAGAACAAGAAATGCAGAATAGGGTCTTGTGGGACAGAGCAGTTTTCCTGTGAAGTCCAATCTATAATAATAACCAGTTCGGTCTAGGGGTAGAACAGGCTCTCAAAACTCTTCTCCTACACCCTAAACAAGAGAATCACATCAATGGAATCCTTGAAGGGTCTATTTCTTGATCTGGCTTATCTCAAAAGAACAGACATCAAAAGTCTTTCCCAGGTTCTTTCTGTCTCTTCTTATACTCGACAAAATTGAGGGCAGATTGCTTCGAGTTTCTTTCTCACGCTCTAATCTCTGGACCGTGCAATTCTTCTCCAAACTCTTCCTCAACAGCTTCTTCCTTCCTTGACCCCTTGCGTATTTTTCCCCCAAGGTCCTGTGAACCTAAACCTCACCGCTGTCCTGCACAGGGGATTGTGCAGTTGGTTCTCCAAGGGTCAACAGCGGCCGTGTTTTAACAGGACGAGCTGCTAGAACCATCAATCAAAGGCAGCCTTCACCAAAGAGGCATGGAGACACGGAGGGAAATGCCTCTCATCACTTGGGAGAGTCCTCACCTCTGATTTCGCTGAATCAGTCCACTGATCTTCTCGTTCTGTTCCTCAATGCGACTGCTCTTCTCAAAAACCTCTTGCTTCAGCCTCTCGTTTTCCTGCAGAGAGAACCCCCCCCCCCAAAAGATGGGTTAAGGGTTCCTGTGATAGGATCTCCAGGTGGCTCTGTAAGACAAGTCCCATCACCTCAGCCAAAGAGGGGGGAAGCTGTATCTAATAATGAGAGATTCTCAGATGGACACCACTGCACGTGCCATTGGAGATGTCTTCCCCTTAAGTAGGACGTAGGCTTCGCTCTCTACTTCAGTGAAGGGACAGGTGTTCTAGGATCAACTAAGGTTGGGCAAAATGTGTCTTTCCTGGAATGGATCGTTCCAATCACCTTAAATGGAAGAAGATTGGCTGTCGACAGAGATTCTCAGTCATCCATCCAGGTCATGGTTGACCCCAAGGTGTTTTTTTCAAGTGGCAACTGGACCTTCTGGTTTTCCTTCGAAGACGTTTTGCTTCTCATCCAAGAAGATGCTTCAGCTCTGACTCCCATTCCCCACCACCCATAGTCAGAGCCGAAGAAGCGTCATGGATGGAGAAGCAAAACGTCTTCGAAGAAAGTCCAGCTGCCTCTTGAAAAAAAGAACTTTGGAGACAAGAAGTTTGGGTTGTTGCTGTTTTGGCAATGAAGAACAAACAATCTACGATGGAGGTCAACTTGCATGTACACACACACACATATTTAAACGTATCCTGGAGAAACTTAAGATCCATACCTCACTCTAAAGAGAGACAGAGTGAGGTGTTGATCTTAAGTTTCTCCAGGATACTTTTGAACATTTCTTCACTTTACCTGGATTATACGCTGGATGTTGGCCATAATCATGGTTGTCTCCATTGTAACAGAGGAAATACCTGGTAACAAGCTTTGGGTAGAATTCTGTTTCTGCAGCTCCTCCATCTGTGAGATAAAGAGAAGGTCTTGGATCACACCTTGGCTAAGGTATCTCATTCAATCCCCGGTCGCTATGAGGCATTCAAGGGAGCCTCTGTGGTTTAAGCCATGATGGGATTCAGCCCATGATGTTATAGTTGAATGTAATCCATGATCCCAGCCACTCACCCACGCAGAACTCATTCCAAAAGAGATGTGAGGAGGAGGAGCAAGTTAAGCGTTGATCAGAAAAAGATATAGCCAATTCCAATAGAAGACACTATTGGTAGCAGCTTAGCATTGAACCGTCGGAATCCTAAGCGCAATATCTCATGATGTTGCCTAGTTGGGTAATGAAAGGTTGGCAAGCAAGCCACCAAGCTCAGAGAGCACCAAGGACTCCACAGTTCAACTTGAGATAGCCAAGTTGTCTACTAGCTAGGGGGTTTGTGAGTTTCCAGAACATCTGGCCAGCTGAATTGGGAAGAAAGTTCTAAGGCTGATCAGCATGATTTGTAGACAAGCAAATCCTTTTACGCAAGCTTTCACCTCATCCCTTTGATGTTACCTTAGCAGCTAGCTGGTCTATTTTGTCAGCCACTTTGCCCACAGAAAGGCGGATTTCGGTGTTCTGTTGCCTCGCTTCCGTCATTAAGAAAGAACCAATATCACCGGCTGCTTTGGAAGGGAAACGGTAAACACAATTTTCGGAGAGCAATCGAAAGTATCAGGAACAGAGTAGTTAAACAGAAAGAGAATCCATCAACAAAAAATGTTGGCAATTGCAGAACAAAAATGAGATATTAGGGTCTATGGATTGGGCTTCTTCTAAAGCTGTTTCTTTCCAACTTGAATGACTGGTAATATGGAACTTGCATAAGGCAACAGGAAGAGAGGAAGTTTTCCAGAACCTAAAGTCTATGGGCCCTCATTCCTGCCAACATCTGGGGGGGGGGGGCCAAATTAGGGGTTATTTTTTTTGGGGGGGGGGGGGAGGGCTTATATTGGGTGCAAATCAAGCTAGGACTTACTTTCAGGGTAGGTCATATTTTTGGGAAAACTCGGTAGAAACCGCTCATATCTCTCTTGGGGCAAAGCTGTTCAGCCTAATCCTGGTTTAGCCAGCTATGTGCAGCCACAGAGAGATCTGTAAGCCCCGGCCTACCTTGGAAAGGAGCAGGAAAGATAGGCCCCATAGGTTGAAGCTGGGAAGCTGCCGCAGGGCCTTGTGGGTAGGCGTAGTTCATCCCTGTGTACGCCTAAAAGGGTGAAGTAAGACAGAAATATCTTTTTAAGCCCTAAAGCTTTCAATTCCAGGCTGGAAACCTTTAGCTCAAGGAAGAAGGATTTTAAGAGCTTTGAGGATCGCTACGGGAAGTTCTTGAGTTACGGCTGGTGGCTTGGCGACTGTTCAAAGCTACTTACCACCTGGTTCCAGAGTTCCAACAGCTACACACCCCAATATGGTCACGGGTGCTTGGCAAGATTTTCACCCTTTTTCTCCTGCTTTTTCAGAAAGAAAAGGGAGGGAGGGGTCCCAGGTCCAGGCAGAAAGAGCCATTCTCTATCTGTTCAAGATTTAGCTGCTGCCACAGCAACGAAGGCTAAATGTATAGAGACGGCCAGACCTCTTTTCGAAAAAGAAGACCCATCAACCCCCCCCGCCCCCATACCTGAAGGCTCTGAGAAGACCCAGGAAGAGCTGGGTGAGGATGCAAGGCTGTAGGCATCACAGCAGCCGAGGACACCTGGAGTCCAGGAGCAGATACCTGGGGCCCTGGGAAAAGAAAACGGGAGATTGTGAATAGTCATGCAATGGAGAAAGGCAGAGTCAATGCAAGAGCTAGATAAGCATAGGTCTGCAGAAACCAGAAGAAACTAGAAATAATTCCTCTGAAGCTGATTTCTGGGTCGGTTCCAGAACCCAAGTCTGATCTTGGTGGCAATCCAGAACATAAACCAATGCAGAAACCAAAAGAAACGAGAAACAATTCTTCATGTGATTTCTGGATCAGTTCTAGAACCCAGGTCTGATCTTGGTAGTATCCAAAACATAAGCCAATGCAGAAATCAGAAAAAAAAACCTAGAAATAATTATTCTGAAGGTGGTTTTGTGGTGGGTTCTTGAACTCAAGATACCCAGGAACAGTAGCCAACTGCAGTGCCAAGCAATTCTAAAGAGTGCCCAGACAAGGGGAAGAATTTTTACACTCTTCAACCAAGTTTCTAGTCCCTCTGGCCCCACTGGAATTATGAGGAGCCTGTGGACAACACGCTAACATAATGTCAAAGCCACAGGGGGGTCCAGGGGAAGGCATTTATTTCCCCCCACACACACATACTATTTTACACTTAAGAAACATAGGTTGAAAATGAAATGCAGACTGAGAGTAAATGGATTTACGTGCCTTGGGCTGTTATCTGAGGAAGAGCGGCTGGGGAGGATGGTTTCAGAGGAGAAGATGTGACGGGATGAGCAGCTTCTCGCAAAGTGTTGGGGTCCTGAAATACACGCCCACAGGGGGAGGGCTTTGCATTAAGTTTTTCCTTGTCATCCTAAACCACTTTTCTCCTTTTAACGCGCCACTCGGAAGGCAGCACAAAATAACCGGTGCAAAATTGGACAGGGTCATGTAAGTTTTAACAGATTAACAGGGTTGGAAGGGACCTTGTAGGTTATCTAGTCCAACCCCCTGCCCAAGTAGGAGACCCAACACCATTTCTGACAGATGGCAGTCGAGTCTCTTCTTGAAAGCCTCCAGGGATGAAGCTCTCACAACTTCTGAAGGCAACTTCTGTTCCATGGGTTGATTGTTCTCACTGTCAGAAAGTTTCTCCTTATTTCTAGGTTGAATCTCTCCATCCATTATTCCTTGACTTATGACCCTTAACTGCAGGCTCAAATACGGCCGCAAATTGAGAACCATCTGTCTCTTTTCATGCCTCCCCTAATTGTTTCTCTCATCCATCCATCCTTCCTTCCATCCATCCATCCAGTCAGTCACTCAATCCTCAACCAATCAATCAATTTATATAGCTACCCATCTGACTCTAGGCAGCTTACGATCAAATGGTAAATTCCATAGTATAACAAAATACGGCTGACCTCAACAATTTAAGGCAAGGGTCTTTCAACGTGGGAAGTTTTAAGACTTGTGGACTTCCAACTCCCAGAACTCCTGAGCTAACATGACTGGAGGAGGAGGAATTCTGGGAGTTGGAAGCCCGCAAGTCTTTAAAGCTGTCGAGTTTGAAGGCCCCCTGGTCTAAGGAAAGAATTGGGGAAGAAGAATCCATTGAATGGCTTCCCAGTTTTGGAGCAACGTTGATCTTTGGGAGCAGTATTGGGATTCCCCCCCCCCTCCCCTCCCAATTCCGAAGGCCCACCCAGCCACCCACCTCGATCTCCGAATCACTTGAGTCCAGCTGGGCCGGAGCCGAACCGGAAAGGAAAGGCAGCATAGGTTGGCCCATCTTCGCCATTCGTGAAATCAGCTTCGCTTTTGCCATGTCGGGGTTCTTGACACGGGACAGAGAGAAAGAGAGAGAGAAACAACACACAAAACAAAGGAAACGTTGAGAGAAAATATCCCAATTTCCTGAGCTCAGCCTGTAAAAACCAGTCCCGTCTTTCAACAAGCAGCATTGAGCCCCTCGGTTCGTTCAAAATGGATTCCTTCCAGGGACTCAGAATGAGTTCACACTGACAGAAAGCGGAAGTCAGAACATATTCAATTTAAGGGGAAGAGAGTTTAGATCAGAGGTGGCATTCAGCTGGTTTGGACCGGTTCTGGTGTACCGGTAGCGAAAATGTTGACTGGTTCAGAGAACCGGCAAATACACCTCTGGCTGGGCCCTGCCCTATATTTCCTTGTTTTTTTTACCTCAGCTAATTCACTTAGCAGAGCAGATTACCGCGCCTCACCTGAGCTTAAAAACTCTCCAGGCAGTTCACCTGTCAACTCATAAAACATTCCTATGTCTGTTTTAGTAGTTGCCATAAAAAAGGGGGGGAGAGGAGGAAGGAAATCTGCAAGAGCAGTGCAGCAAAACGAAAGTACATTCCAACTCTTGATCTTTAAAAGGTTGTAATTAAAATACCAGAGCTTTTGCCTGCGGATATATTTAATTGGAGAATGTGATTGATGACACACCCAGCGGGGAGGGAGGGGGAAACAAGCTCACAGGGTGATGTAGGCCAGAGTTGGCTTCATCGAGGGCAGTGCCAGAATGTCGCCTCTAATGAATCCTTGGAAGTTTTTTGAAGTTTGGCTCAAGGATCATGATTTAATTAGGGCGATTGCTGGAATCCTTACATCACCAGGTTGACAGAGCTCTGTGTCTGTGCTGCGCGCATGTGAAGCTCAGCTGATCGACGCTATCGGCGCACCTCAGCTGAGCTTAAAAACACTCCAGGCAGCTATCCAGCCTTGACATGCACACGCACATAGAACCGGTAGGGAAAATTTTTGGAAACCCTCCACTGGTTTAGATCAAACCCTGAAATTAAAAAAAAAAAATGGAGAAAGCAAGCCGAGCTGGGTGAACCAAAGACTTACCGCGAGTTGTTCACTGAGAGAGTTGGATTTGGCCCGCACAGCTGGCTCCCTGCAGCATAAAAGGGACAATCTTACAACCGCTGAGGTGGGTAGAAGGTCTCTTTTCAGAATTTAAAAGCCTGTAGCATGGTTTTCTCAACCTCAGTTACTTTCAGGTGGGTGGACTTCAACCCCCAGAATTCCCCAGTCAGGATAGCGGAGTTAAAAGTCCACCTGTCTTTAACGCTGCCAAGGTGGAGAAGCACTGCCCTGCAGCCTCTGAATTAAATGCGAACAGCGACTGGCCTTCCTCGTTCTTTGTCAAACGGCAGACGCTGCCCAACAAAGACATCAACGTGCAGGAGAGGACTGAAAAATTAAAATCAAACTGATAACTCACCCAGGCTTTGGGGGTAGCGTGCCAGGAGGCAACCCTGCAGGGTCGGCGCTGAGGTGTTCGGTGTTTGGTCCTGGAGAGGGCGCAAGAGAGTCCCTGGGGGGCCCATGTTGCTCATTTGAAGCAGCCTCCTTGGCCAATCTGACCTAAGAAAGATGGGGGCGTGGGACAGCGTAACAGAGTTGGAAGGGACCTCGGAGGTCTTCTAGTCCAACCCCCTACCTAGGCAAGAAACCCTACACCACTTCAAACAAATGGTTATCCAACATCTTCTTTAAAACTTCTTTACAACTTCTAGAGGCAAGCTGTTCCACTGATTAATTGTTTTCACTGTCAGGAAATTCCGTCTTAGTTCTTGGTTGCTTCTCTTTGATTCATTTTCACCCATTGCTTCTTCTCCTGCCTTCTTGGTGCTTTGGAGAATAGCTTGACTCCCTCTTCTTTGGGGCAGCCCCTCAGATATTGTAAGACTGCTATCAATCTCACCCTTAGTCCTTCTTTTTCACTAGACTGGACATACCTAATTCCTGCAACCGTGTTTTTTTTTTCACATGTCTTAGCCTCCAGCCCCCTAAAATCATCTTTGTTGCTCTTTTCTGCACCCTTTTCTAGACAGAGCTACAGAGGCCACAGCTGGCACCCCCAAACAAAACAGAGCGGCTTACCCTCTTGACTTCTACCTCGAAGGCCAGCGTGGAGTCTGGAGGTACCCGATTCGCCACTCCCTGAGACCCATAAGCCAGGGCTGGAGGGATAACCAGGAAACGCTTGCTTCCTTTCTTCAAACCGAGCATCCCTTCTTCCCAGCCCTTTGGGGGGGGGGAAAAACAACAACAGAAAGTCATGTAATGAACAGCTGAGATTTAACTCTCTCTCTTAACGCTGAGAGAAAAACAAAGAGTTTTAAATTACATGGAAGGGGTTCCTCCTCCCCTTCTTCAAAGTCATTTCCCTAAAGGGGACTCTATCGTAGGCTCAGCCTAGGAGAGATTTTTTTTTTTCAACCTGTATTATCTAGTTTGGGTTGGGGTGTTTTTAGTTCAATGCAGCCAGTTGAGTTTTGTCTCTGGATCCAGAATTATTATTATTTGTCAGCTAAAGTTTCCCAAGTCTGAAAAAGTTTGAAAACTCCCGAATTAGGTTATGGAGTGAATGGCGACTTAACAGCTACCGTTTCCTTCCTTCAGTTTAGCACACAGTTTCTCAATCCGGATAACTTTTAAGATGGGTCAACTTTAACCGTCAACGTGGCGGCTGGAGAATTCTGGGAGTTGAAGTGCATCCATTGTAGACTCGCCAAAGTTGAGAAACACGGATTTAGCAAATGCCGGTAGAAGCAAATATTTGTAGCTCGGGGTTGGACTGTGGTTGAATATTGGTGCCGAGTTTGGTAGGGGATGGTGTTTTTGGAGGCATTTCATTACCCAACTAGGTAACGTTATCGGTGCTAGAAGGGAGTAGGATACAGCGATGAGTTTCCTTGCAGGCATTTCATTACCCAACTAAATATCATCATCAATGCTAGAAAGCAGTAGGATGTGTGGAGAGGAGGAAGAAGTCCTTGGTGCTGTCTGACATTGGTTGTTTTCTTGCAGACATTTCATTACCAAACTAGGCAACATCCATCATCCATACTGGAAGTGAGTGGAGTATGTGAAGAGGAGAAGGGGGAAGAGTGTGTGGTCCTTGATACTCTCTGAGCTTGTTTCTTGCAGACTTTTTATTACCGTACTAGGTAGTGTCATCAATGCTTTAGCAATTACCTGCAAGTATTCAACTATTTTTTTCCTGAGGAGATCATCCCCCACCCTCCCAATTCTCTCTGACCACAAACACGAAGATCTGAGCCAACTTTTCCCTTTCAGCAAAACCTACTAAGCAGCCCAGCTGAGATGGAAAAGGCGGACGTTTAAGAACCAAAAGCCCCAAAGAAACAGGACTGCGTCGCTCACACCTTGATGATTTTGCCGGAGCCCAGCTTCAGGCGGAGGAGTTTCTCTTTGTTCACGTTGGAGTCGAACACCTGTAAGAATCAAATGCAAACGAGATGTGGGAAAGGGGGATCGGGAGCTTCCCCACAGGGTCCCTGCTTTCCTCCCGGGTTTTACCTGCCCCAGGGCAGAGTTCTGGAAGAGCCAGCCGGTGAAGGCAACTTCGAGCGCGTCGCCCACTTCCACAGCCGGGCCGTCTCCAAGGATGAGGTCCTGGCACGCCACCGACTCAGGGGAAGGGCTGCTGTTATACTTGGCGAGGCAGAGCTGTAGGCGAAAAGAGGGAGGGAGATGGGAATGAGAGGAAGGGAGGGAGGGAGGGAGGGAGATGGGAATGAGAGGGAGGAAGGGAGGAAGG